GCTCTGTCTTACCTGGCTGGGCATGGTGGGAGGAGGGGGCCAGAAGTAGGGGTTGTTAAATCGAGGCTCGGCCATCCTGTGGGGAGAGAGGGACTGTCACAAGGAAGGGGGCCCTACACATTGGCCTGGGGTGATCTCCCGTCAGAGAGGCCCACCCACTGAAGTCGGGCCAGTGTCCACACCAGAGCATGCCTCGCACCAGGTCCAGACTGAAACATCTGGAATCCAGAGTCTTCCTCTGTGGGTTCTAGAGGGCAAAGGTCACCTCCAAGCTAGAGTATTTCCAACCCCCATCACCATGGCAGACCAATTCCTATCCCCATCCCCAAGAACACTTTATGAGTCCTGGTGTGGCTCTGTGGGTTAATGCACTGGACTGCAAGGTCAGTTCGAACTGGAAAATCAGAGGTTTAAGCTCACCAGCTGCTCCTCAGAAACCCTATACAGGGTTGCTATGAGTCGGAACCGACTCGATGGCACTTAACAACAACAACAAAAGACACTTTAGGCTACAGAGCCAACCTCATGGACCCATGAATTCCACACAAAAGCCTCCCATCCAGAGACAAACGGGGGTATCCTGGAGGCAACATTGAGAATCCCATCCTGACTGCTGCCCCTCAGTTCAGAAATCCTCATTACTAGACAGGAGCAACACTGGATCACCAGATACAACCTTTCTGAAGGACAATTTGGCAGATGGTTTACAGAACCCTAAATTGACCATTGCCCTTTGACCCAAGAAATGGTTCTTCCAGAACCATTATCAAGAAACAAACACGGCTAAACATTTAACCTGCAAGGGTGTGCTTAAAGAGGGGACTTGAAGCATGGGACGTTTAGGGCTCCCTAATAAAAGTGTGTGACAATCTGGCCAGTGACCTTCACTTCTGAGAAGTTCTGGGGCAGATCTGTACAGTTGGAAGGATTTTCCAACCAGGGCAGTATCAAGGATGAGCCTTCAGAGCTAGCTTAGATTTCCAGGGGGTTTGAATCTGCTTGCAACCCTGGAGTAAGCCATGAGTGACTTAGCAGGGACCATGACATTAAATCTTGCTCTTTATTTATTCTTCTCTTACAGAAACTGCTCACCTAACTGGTATTGTTTCTTATATGAAATCATTTATTTGGAACAGAAAAGATCCAAATAAGTGCCTTCAACCTCTTTTCCTGGCCCCTACTAAAATTCCTGGTGTGGCACCACAGGATAAGCACTCGACGTCAAGGTCGGTTTGAGCCACAAGGTCAGAGGTTCAAACTCATCAGCCGCTCCTTGGAAACCCTATACAGGGATGCTATGAGTCGGAATTGACTCAATGGCACTTAACAACAACAACACTGGAATTCCAGGCAGTTTCAGGAGAAAACAATAAGGACATAGCCTAATCTCAATGCTTCAGAAAGCAGCTTTGTAAGAATGCTGTCCTTTGATCTTTACTGGAAAAGTAGGTACAGGAGAAAGAAATTATTATCACCCCATTTTACAGGTGAAGAATCTGAGGCTTGGAGGAAGAAGAAAACCTGTCTAAGACCACAAGGTTAAGTGTCACAGGGTCCAGACTAGAATCAGATTTGCTCAAGCTGGTTCCTCTGGGGAGTTGGCTTGCAAACCTTAACCCCATTCCTGAATTGAGCATATACTCACATGCCAATTGAACAATATCTTGCCCCTCACTCCCAGCCTAGGGGCTGATTTAGGTCTGGGCTGGCCAGGCTAGGGGTCAGCATACCATCCTCTGGGGCAGTCAGGCAGCCCTTGCTTGCTACCTGCCCCCATCACACCATCCCTTGTTGCCCAACACAAGAACCACCCCACAGGGAGCTCACCCTGAATGCCCAAGGCCCCAGGGACTTCTTTCTCAGAAAAGCCTTAAAACAATAACAAGGAGGGGACATAGATTTTTGGAGTCATCCTGGTTTGGTACTAAGGGTTAATGCGCTGGACTGCAAGGTCGGTTTGAGCCGCAAAGTCAGCAGTTCAAGCTCACCAGCTGCTCCTCAGAAACCCTATCAAGGGTCACTTTGAGTCAGCTGGAACCAACTCGATGGCATTTAACAATACCCTGACATTGGAAGGCAGGCCTGTTCATCATCTCCATTTTACAACTGAGGAAACTGAAGCTTTGAATGAGGGAATGACTTGCTGAGGGTCACACAGCGAGTAAGCGGAGCTGAGATTCCCACTCTAACCTGCCTGACTCTGAAATCCAGCTCTTCAGTCCCGAAGCAGTCCAGGGCACGACACGGCCTGTGAGCATGCCCTACCTTAGGGTGGCAAGGTGCAATACCTCCTATGGGACTTACTTCCTCAGGACTTGTCCCGACCCTGTGCTTGTCCATAATGAAAAACGTGTTGGGACTGAGCTGTAAAGCCAGGGCTGAGGAGGCTCCGGATGGGAGCAAGAGGAGCTGGGGTTCAGTCCTGAGGATTAGAGATGCCTGTCTCCTTCATCTTGGTGTCCCTGAGACCCAAGCTCAGACGTTATCAATAACATGGGTTGAATGATGAATAAACAAAGGCATAATAATCAGAATCATGTGAAACACAATCCTACACAATCATCAAGTGCTGCTGCCAATTCACAAAACTCTTCCCTGTCCACTGTCATTCTCATCAGAGCCCCAGGAGGAAGTAAAAGCAGGAAAGAATGTTCACCCCCATTTCACAGACCAAGAAATACAGCACCAAGACATATTTGTTCCAGGCCACATGGAAGCAGAAAGTTGGCCACTGGCTCTCAGCCTGTTTTCCTCATCTGTAAAATGGGGATGAGACAGGCTACGTGCCTTGTTCTTGCCCTAGCCCTCGGCTCTGCTCCTCGCCCCTGCTCCTCGCCCCTGGGAGAGCCATCACCTCCAAGTTCAGGCTTCCCAGACATTCACACTGGTCAGGTTGCTGTGAGGAAGAGGGGGATGTTCCCAGGGCCCCACAGCTAGGATAGACCATCCTCTCTGCCCTTATTAAGGCCCCTAGACTAGACAGCAGGGACCACCCCTCACCACAGAAGGGAGAGGGCAGCCAGGGTCACTTCATCTGTTCGGCACAGTTTCTGCCTGGCTTTTCTGCATCCTTCCCTGGCTAAGCTTCAGTGATTCAGCCAATGACCCAGCCCCCAGTGTACAGCTACTATGTGCCAGGTGTGGGGGAGGTAAAGCAGGGGACAAACATTTACTGAGATCATACTCAATGGCAAACCCATAAATAGAGTGCCATTTGAGCCCCCCAACAAGCCCAGGAGGGGACTATCCATCTTTGCAACCTGCACAAGAGATGGTGGGCCCTGTAGTCAGGGTCAGGTGAGCCATGGCAAGAGGTGAGGTAGGAGGGTAGCCAGGCCAAGGGTAGGCCCTCACACTCAGATCTTGTCTGGAGGATGGGGTTTTTTAATGGGGTAGAGACATAGTCAGATAAGTGTTTGGGACAGGTTGACAAGGCCAAAGGCAGTGCAGGCAGAGGTAACAGCATGAGCCAAGTAGGTTCAGGACAGTGAGCAGCCAGCCACAGGTACCCCAGGGAGAACTAGAGAGGGGTGAAGTGATGAGACACAGAAGCCAGCTGGCATCACCTCAAATGCAGTGCTAAGATGTTGGGACGGCATGCTGGAGAGACAGGCATAGAGAGGAATGCCAGGCCAGCAGGCTATGAGGCAGACTGGGCAGGGCCTCAAGTATCAGGCAGAAGCCAAGTAGCCTATGCTACGAACCCTGAGCCAGCAGGTCTGCTCCTCACAGGGGAATGAACAAGTTGCCTTTTTTTGTGTGTTTTTTTCTGGCTCTAAAAGGTGGGAAAAAGTTGGAATGGGTGGGCGAATAAAGGAAACACCTCCTAGAGCTGGCGCTGAAAATAGTGTCATGCTGGCAGCTGGCCCATCCACCCACTAATCCATCTGTCCATTCATTCGTCTGGACATGTCCTCTGGGTCAAATCAGGGCCCAGTGCTAGGGAACCCAATGCAAATCAAACAAGCCCTATCCTCTGGATGCTCCAAGCTATGATGAAGAAGCAGAAGTGAGACCTGCCACGAGCCAACATGACCTCCATAGGTGAAAGTTAATGGACTACCTGCAAGGCCCATCCTCCTTGGCCTCCCTGCCACTGGAGCACTTTGAGAAGCTCTGTGTGTCATAGGTTCCTCCTCCTCTGTCTTCATCTTCCCAACACAGCGATGGACAGGGATCCTCTTCTCCCCAGACTGGCTTCAGTTCCTGGGTGGACCCTCCACCCTAGGACTTTCAATACTAGCCAACTCCCTTATCTCCATCTCCAGCCCAGGTCTCTCCCTGAAGCTCCTCTCCCAAATACCTCCCTGTCCCCTGCAAATCTACTTGGCCTTGGTCCTTCCCTAAGATGTGTGCCTCCACCAGTCATCCCCAGCTCTGAGCAGGACATCTCCATCTGCCAGAAGCTCACACCAAACACACGAGTGATCACAACATCTGCCCTCCCTCTATTCCAACCTCAGATCCACCATGAGCCACATCCTAAAGATCCCATTTCCAAAACCTCTCTCAAATCTACCCACTCCTCTCCTTTCTGCAATAACTTCACATCAGCTGGGGGAATCAGTTGCTTTGTTTGGAGCCCAACATACCACATTCAGATCTTGGCTCCAACTCACCAGTTGTGTGATCTTGGGCAAGTCACTTGCTCCTTCCTCTCAAGTAAGGAACAAGCAGTCCAAAGCCAAGGACCTGACCCAGCCTGGAAAGAGGGGATCAGGGAGGACTTCCCAGAGGAGGTGATGCTTGCATTGGGTCTTAAAGGATGAGTGGGAGTTAGCCAGGCAAAGATGTAGTGGGGAGCATTCCCGCAGAAGCAACAGCTTGAGCAAAGGCCCAGAGGGAAAAAGCAACACAGGATGCATGTAAGGGGAGCTACAAACATTCCACTGTTGACTAGGACATGGGAGATGAGGCAGGAGCCTTCCATCAGCCAGAGCAGACCTAGGAAATGGATCCCTGAATCCTAGACCTGGTGTGTGAACTTGAATTTGTGCTTCAGAAAAACTCATCTGATGGCTGATTGTAGAAAGGCCTGAAGAGGCCATGTGAGGAGGCAGCAGAAGGACCCCATTAGGAGGCCCCTGCAGGACGGAGGTGAGAGGCAGGGGCTATACCTGGGCCAGGGGGAGCATGACCAAGGAAGAAGTGCAAGGCCTGCTGGGTTGTCACAACTGGAGGCCAAGAAAGAGCGTGCAGGTTTCCCCTCATGGTGTGGCTTGGAAGGCTCCCTGGATCCCCACGTGGACAAACAGGGCCACAGAAACATGCAGACACACAGCACATGACAGACACAGACCTGGGGCTCCAAACATGGACAGATGGCAATGTGGCAACTCCCATGAGGAGGAACCCATAGCCACCAGGACACAGGAAACACAGGTGGGTGCTATTATAGGCGGGTGGGCTCACACCTCCCCCAGGGTAATCCCAGAGACCCTTCACTGCCTCCAGTCAAGCCTGCTGGCCTCCACTGCAGGCAGTGAAGGGACACTCAAGGAAGCTGAGATAAACAAAATACCTTGATCCCCCAAAGAACAAACCCCTCATTGACAGATTTTAACCTGGAATCACAGGCTCCTTACCTAGAGTGTCCTTTCCCACTTGGTGAACTTCTACTCATCCTTCAAGACCCAGCTCAAGTGTTCCCTCTTCTACGGAGCTTTCCCTGAACCCCCAGTCAGTCACTTCCTCTGTGTTCCCAACAGCACCTTGTATATGGGAATAATAATAACAATGACAACAATAATAAAATGACAGCTACCATTGATTTCAACACTTACTATGTGCCAGGCACTGTATGCATTATGTACTGAATCTTCCTGATGACTCAAGGAGATAGGCACTTAACAGAAGAGGAAATTGCAGTTCAGAGAGGTTGACCAACTTGCCCAAAGTCACACAGCTAACAAGTGATAGAGTCAGGAGGCCCATGACACTCTTGGATGATTATTTTCTTGAGCGTCCTCTCTTTATGAGTGGGGTGAGTGCTCACTCACCTGTCATTCCCAGAATCTAGCCCCAAAATGGTTCCAGAAATTCTTTGCAAGATTAGAAAGTAAAATAATATCAACTACCTCTTGTTGAACATTTAAGGAGTACTGGTAGTGTAGTGGGTTCTGCATTGGGTTGCTAACCACAAAGACAGCAGTTTGAATCCACAAGCTGCTCTGCAGTCCAAAGATGAGGTTTTTTGCTTCTGTAAAGATTTGCAGCCTTGGAAACCCTATACAGGGTCACTATGAGTCAGAACCGACTCAATGGCATGCAGCATCAGCAGCTCTTGAACATTTACAATGTGTAAGGATGTAATTATGGATTTCTAGGAGTCCTGGTGTGGCGCTGTGGGTTAATGTGCCAGACTGCAAAGCCGTTTGAACTGCAAGGTTGATGGTTCAAGCTCACCAGCTGCTCCTTGGAAACCCTATACAGGGTCACTATGGGTCGGAACCGACTCGATGGCACATAACAACAACAAAAACAATGCATACAATAAACCTAATTGTACAGATGAGAAAACTGAGGTCCAGAGAAGTAACCTATCTGAATTTAGAGTTGCATCTTGATTTGAAACTAGGTCTTTCCATCACTCTCTTCCAGAGGATGGGTGGTCTTAAAGCCAGCCTAGCAAGTTCCACAAAGGGGGCCCTGGGATGAGGGTAGGGGACACCCAGGGAGGTACAGACCTGGACAAGCAGACAAGGACATGCATCCAAGGATGGAAAAGGACTAGGCTCACCAGCAGCAAAGCTGTGAGGCATGGCTAAGACAGAGGGGTGTGGCTAAGACAGAGGGGTGTGGCTAAATTCTATCCCCAATTCTGGACATTAAATTGATCTGTCTGAATCCCAAGGCCATAGGGGAAGTAGCTCCCAACAAAGCAAACAGGAGAGAGTGGTACCCAAAAGTGCCCAGACACTGTGATTATAGGGAAGCCAAAATAAAAACCTGCGTCAGAAAAAGCAAGCTGCAGGGAGCCACGCTGGGAGGGAGGCTGGAGTGCTGGGGGTGGTGGCTGGAGCTGAGCTGGGTTTTGTCTTTGTTTTTCTGATTTCCAAATTCTCTGTAATGTGCTTCAGTTGCTTTTATAATGAAAACAATCAATTTATTCTTAAAAAAGAAAGTGGTTAGTAGCTCATGGGGGAGGGTCCAGAGGCACAGAAGAGCAGGAAGGAGTCAGGATCCGCTTAATGGTTGAATGCCAAACCCTGCACAGACCTTCTGAAGTTTGGGGGTGTCATGAAGGGTTGCCTGGAAGTGACGTTCAGCCTTTGATTCTGGTTAGGATTCCACCACCTCCCCTGCCTCAATCCAGGTCCCCTTCATTTCTGGCCTCAGTTACTCCAAGAGCCCCCCTCTGAAGTTTCCCCACTTCCCCTTCACATCCTCCATTCCATTTTCCTACTGCAATCACAGAGCTCTTTCTAAAATGCGAATGAGATCACAGACCTCCTCTGCTTAGTACCTTCCATGGCTCCCCACTTCCCTACAGAAAATGTCTGGACTCCTTGGACCTTGCATGTTTGGCCACTGCTGACCTCTTTGGCTTCACACTCTGCCTAGCCAAACTGAGTCTCCCAGTTCCCCAAATGCTCTGTTTCCCTTTGCATTTCCTCACTTCAACCAGGCTGCTTCTCTGCCTGGAGCCCTCAGTCCTTCCTTCCTTAACTTGACCATTGTTGCTGTTAGATCAGTTCCAACTCACAGTGACCCAATGCATAACAGACAGAAACACTGCCCAGTCCTGCACAATTCTCACAATTGTTGTTGTTACACTTGAACCCATTGCTGTTGCCCTGTGCCAATCCATCTATCTCATTGGGGGTCTTCCTCTTTTTAACTGACACTCCACTTTACTAAGCATGATGTCCTCCAAGGATTAGTCCCTCCAGATAATATTAAGTATGAGAGAAAAACTCTTACTATCTGTGCCCTGCACTCTTGCCCTAACTCTAACTTACCCCTCGGTAGTCAGCTTCTGGGCTGCGCAGATAATTGCAAGGTTGGCAGTTCAAACCCATCAGCTGCTCCTCAGGAGAAAGACCTTTCTGTTCCCATAAAGATTTACAGCCTTGGAAACCCTTTACAGGGTTGCTGTGAGTCAAAACCAACTGGATGGCACCTAAGAACTGTCGAGCGTTATCGGTGGGAGTGTAAAACGGAACAATCATTTCTGAAAGCAATCTGGCACATGTGTCAAGAGCTTGAACACTTTTCAGACCTGCTGGCCGAGTGATCCCATTCTTGGCCATCTATCCCTAGGAATTAACTCAAATATAGAAAAAGCTTTATGTACACAGCTTTATGAAGTGTTTGTTTATTTTTTACAATAGCAAAAACCTGAACAGCCCAATTTTTTAAACAGCCGCTTGGCTCTGTATACTATATTACACAGTTACACAGTGTCAACTGCTTCATAATGCCTAAGGTTTACTGATTTGGTAACGACTCATTTAATATTCTTATCAACCTTACAAGGAATTGAGGTACCGAGAGATTAGGTAACTTGTCTAGAGACAAACAGGAAGCCTATGATTTGAACCCATGCTTTTACCCTGACACTAAAAGGATTTAAAAGGATTAAAAGCGACCCTGTGGGTGTTTAGAAAATACTTTTGATACAAGTCAGGAGAAAATAATCAAGATAAAATTTATACGTACATCTAGAAAGGGGACAATACACTAGGGAGGTCCACACTACTTGGAATATGCAATCATCTGAGATCAAAAGGGCAGTATTCGCCCAAGGACAGAGTTCAGAAGGGATAAGAGAGAAGAACAAAAGAGGGTAAAAAAATTATATTTATACATAGAACAATGATGCTGTTGTTTTAGTAGTTGTTAAGTCTAATCTGACTCACATGACCCCATGGGGTACAGAGTAGGACCTGTCCCATAGGATTCTCTTGGTTATAAGATTAATGAGAGCAGATTGTCAGGTTTTGCTCCCATGCTTCTGTGGGTAGGTTCAAACCGCCAATCTTTAAAGCTAGCAGTTAGCAGCAAACTATTTACACCACCTAGGGAGCTTGGGCACAGTGCAGGACTGAGCAGTGTTTTGTTCTGTTGTGTACCGATGCAAAGTCACCTAACAACAGGGACCATAAGATGGCCACTCTTCGGAAACTCAATACAGGGTCGCGGTAAGTTAGAACGGGCTCAATGGCACTTAGCAATAACATGGACCTTAGGAAGGAGCCTTCGTGGTGTTGTAGGATATACACTGGACTGTTAACAACAAGGTTGGCAATTCAAATCCACCAGTGGCTTCATGGGAGAAAGACGGCACTACTGGCTGCTATAAAGATTTACAGTCTCAAAAACCCTATATAGGGTCACTATGAGTCAGTAAATAGTCTTGATGGCAGTGGTTTTGGCTTTGGTTTAGGGACCTAGGAGCCCTAGTAGAGCTGTGGGTTAAATGTTGGGCTGCTAAACACAAGGTCAGCAGTTCAAATCCACCAGCTGCTCTGAGCTAGAAAGAAGAGGCTATCTGTTTCCATACAAATTTAGTCTCAGTCAATTAACAATTAGCAATTAATTTGGTCTTCTTGCTTTAGGGACTGCGTTGTTGTTTTAAGTGCCATCAAATCAGTTCTGATTCATAGCGATATTCTTTCTATAGGGTTTCCGAGGAGTAGCTACTGGGTTTGAATCGCTGACCTTGAGGGTCCAGTGCTTATTCTATCTATAGTGCCACACCTGGACTCTTATGGACCTTATTGTTGTTAAGTGCCGTAAAGTTGGTTCCAACCCATAGCGACCCTGTATAGGGTTTCTGAGGAGTGGCTGGTGAGCTTGAACTGCTGACCTTTCAGTTCAAACCAACTTTGCGGTCCAGGGCATTAACACACACCAGGACTCCTTAGAGTAATATACGTATGTATGTGTATATTATATATGTGCGTTGTGTGTTGTTGTTGTTGTTAAGTGCCGTCGAGTTGGTTCTGACCCATAGTGACCATATATAGTGTTTCTAAGGAGCATCTGGTGAGCTTGAACCACCAACCTTTCAGTCTGGCGCATTAACCCACAGCGCAATATATATATATATATATAGTGGTGGTTATGTGCCGTGGAGTCAGTTCCGACTCATAGTGACTCTATTATAAGGTTTCCGAGGCTATAAATCTTTACGGGAGCAGAATGCCTCATCTTTCTACCATGGAATGGACTGTAATTTCCATGAGATTAGCAGCTTGACTTGTAACCACTACGCTACCAGTGTTTGGAGGACAGTGGAAAGAAATATCAAAAAGCTAACAACAGTGGTGTTTCAGGCTTGGGTTTGCTGTACATTTAATTTCCCTATTCTCTGAATTTCCTGCAGGCTGGTTAAGTGGCTTTTTAAAGGAATATTTTAAATAAAACTAAACATTCAGCAAACTTTGGCCTAACAAGTCACTGTTCCTAAGCTCCTTTCCACTCTTAGCAACCCACAGGGGTTTCTGCCTCAGGCCCCGAAGGTTTGTGAGCAGGAAAAAGGGGCTCAGAGGCTCAGAGGTCCACAGCACACCCAGAGCCCCACTCCAGACCCAGCCCAAGAGTCGAGTCAAGAAGGGTCCCCTTGTAGGGGGTACAGTTAGTTGGTGTCACTGGAGAGAGCCATGCTGAGGAAAGTCTGACCACGTCACTTACTCTCTAGCTTAAAATCCCTCTCGAGTTCCCTTCACTTTCAGGGTGCAGTTCACACTCCCCAGCCTGGTACCCGGG